TTCATAAACAGTACGCCGCGGTGTCCGATAGGATTTTTCATTTAAAATAATAGCAAATAAATTAGTTTATTCTCAGCAGACGAAATAGGACTATGGACTAGGTACAGAAATACTTAAAATCACGTACCTACCAGTATTCACGCAACGGAACAAATTGCACCAAGGAACAAGGGTTGATTAAATTCTAACTCCTCTACTTATAAATATTTTTTTTATACAACTTAGAATGGCAAATAAGCTGACGGCCCACTTGATGGAAAGTGGTAACCGTCGCCTATAGACATGAGCAGTACCGTGGACATAACAGAGTATACTGTTTCGCCCATGATATCCCCATGCGATGCCATTCATTAAGGACTCAGGTGTTATTCCTCTGTACCCTGTAAATTCACGCCATATCCCACCCTTCAAACCGAAACACAGCTATGCAAACACAACTGCTTCACAGTTGAAACGCTAATGGGACAGAGGTACCCAAGCAATCGACTTTTGTACAGTCTCCAAATTAGAAATTACTTTAATTTCAACCGACATAAAAAAAAAGGATAAAGATTCTCAATATGGTATATTACATAATATAATTGGATAATATCATAATCTCGATCTATGGAACTGGTAAAAACAGTGACATTCATACAGATACAGAGACTACGTACAAGGGTTCCTCTTTATTCGATAAGGAACCCTAAACCGGACCCTTGACACCGCTTGCCACTAATACACCTGTGACCACTTCGCTCAACAAAAGAACATCAATTATCAATGAAGTGTAACGCCGAATTGATCTCTATTGAAAATAGAAAAGAACGCTTTTCTTATTCATCTATCTCTCTCCCTCTCTCTATTAAAATTTCTTAAATTTATTTATTTATTTATAGGCTTACCAACATAAGATACAGCTAAACATTTCAATACAATACACTGGTAGATTAGATCTAACTGTTCTTACATTTATAGGCGACCACAGCGTGCCTTGTGTTTGATAAACATTAAAATAGAATTAAATTATTAAATGTCATTAAATAAGTGAAGATATTAACAATATGAATAATAACATAACATAAATAATAGAAATTGTAATTAAATTATTTAAAATTATAAATAAATAAATAAGATATTGTTTTACAGAAAAAAAAAACGAAAAAAAAATGCACCAACTTCAATGCTGGCAAAACCAGCTATTTTATTTTGTTTTAAAAATTTAAATAATAAACTAATGTTGATGAAATTTCTTCGGGATCTGTATCTACATCTTTTCAGATAAAAAAAGATTTTCCCAAATCAGTTTACAACTGACGGAGTTGTAATGTAACAAATCTTAAAAAAAAGCAACCGAATTGAGAACTGCCGTCCCCTTTTGAAGTCGGTTAAAATATTTTCTTACAAATATTATAAAACTACTCAGGGACCAATCTGAAAGACATATTAATCTGTTGATTATTTGAAAGAACACTTTCCGAATCAGTCTATGTATAAACAAAGCTATAAAGTTATAGTAATAAACATAACAAAAATATTAAACTCAGAACGTCCTCGTTTTTTTTTTTAAATGGGCTGCAAACGGAATAATAACCTACACTGGCGGGGCACCAGTGAGGGATGATAGGTGAGGGTGAAGCAGGTCAGTTAGCCCACCGTGACGAATTCAACAAGAATTGTTCACGATGGTTTCCAGGGGGAACCGCGTGGAGGTTGACCTAACAGGGCTTGCCAGCAATGGGATTCTCAGTTTCCATTACTAACAATCCCTTTCCCCCTTGTGCCTTATGTTGGTGATCCTATAAGTAAATAGATATATAATCACATCATCTGCATCCATCGTTAATCCAATATCTAGCATGTAATTTTTTTTTATACAACTTAGAACGGCAAACAAAGCCGACGGCCCACCTGATGGAAAGTGGTAACCGTCGCCTATAGACATATAATAAATATAATAGATCAGGCAATTCGTTGATCTGTCTTGTAAATATCACTCCGCAACGATAACATTCCGCCCCCTTGCGTTGTTCGCGGCACATTAAGTCGATATCGTCTCGCTGTATTGGTGTACCGTTCAGCGAAATAATATTTTTTTTATGTTTGATAAGAGACTGGGATTAATAATAATAATTATTATTATTATAATTTTATTTGCTATGATTTTGGGTAAGAAACATCTGATCTTTTAAGTTAAAAGTACCTTACAAAATCTACTTAGGTCAAGGGTGCAAATATTTAAAACAAAAATTACATTATATTAATTTTAAATGTTTTGTGGTATTAAAATATCAATTATGTAAGAAAAAGATTACTTAAATTATATACTAAAAAAAAAATATCTTTAATTAAATATTAAGAAATGTAATTTTTTTTTATACAAACATACAAACAAGCGGTTACCACTCTCCATCAGGTGGGCCGTCACCACCTGATGGAGAGTGGTAACCGTCGCCTACAGACATGAACAGTACCATGGACATAACATAGTATACTGTTTCGCCCATGATACCCCCGTTGCATTGCCATTCCTGAGAACTCGGGTATTTCTCCTCTGTACCCTGTAAATTCACTGTCATATGCCCACCCTTCAAACCGAAACACAGCCATGCAAACACAACTGCTTCACGGTAGAAACACGAATGGGACAGAGGTACCCGAGCAATCGACTTTTGTACAAAGTCTCCCTCTGGTAAAAGCTAGTAAGTTATATATTTTCGAATATTCTATCTCCATCAGTACGAGGTCGGCCAGGCTCTCTGTTATTTTAGTATCCATCTTATCCTATGTACGGGGGTATGTATGTGTGAGTGTATTATTGTTTTAATCTATCACCACAGCGACAATGTCAATAAACATTCAATTGGTAATGTAAAATAAACGTAAATAACATTTATTTATGTTTATTTTACATTGCCGACCGATAACTGCAAACACTTGATCACAGTTCAAATGATAGTTCTATGCACTTAATTATTCAATTGTTTTCGTGCAGCAATGCAGGATCAGACAGCTTATGAGGTAAGTGGGGGAGGGGGAGGGAGGGTTTTTTTATTGGTAGAAAATGGAATAGTAACCCCACCTGCGCTAACGGGATACGCTGGTGGGGCACCAGTGAAGGGTGATAGATGAGAATGAAAACAGGCCAGTTAGCCTATCATGGTGAATTCATCAGGAATTAACCATGATAGTTTCCAGAGAGAATCGCGAGGAGGTCGACCTGGTTGGGTATATTGCTAGCAATGGGATTCCCAATCTCCATTACTAACAATCCCTTTCCCCCGGGGAGGGATTTGTGATGTATAATGAGGGATAATGGGAGTCTAACATCGCCTGTGCGAGGGGAAAGAATTGAAGAAGAAAGGTCGCGTGCGCTGCGGAAACTATTGGTGATAGAACAAAAGTATGTTCTACAATATTGAAGAAAATATCAATGACTACAAAAAACTTCGCGATACTATATGTCCAACTATTATCGTTATGTCACAGTAATCACTTTTTAAAATGTTGTAAAAATGTCCATCCATGCGAAGCCGGGATGCGCCACTAGTCTTAATGAAAGAGAATATATGTAGAATCTTAAGGCAACTTAACGGTCGAGGGATGGGCAGTAGCGTTCCTCTTAAAATAGCAACAAAGCTTAAATTTTGCTGCCAATTCGCCTGCAAAGCTACTAACTACTAACTTGTAAAACTCAGGGGGAAAGGGATTGTTAGTAATGGAGACTGAGAATCCCATTGCTAGCAATATACCCAACCAGGTCGACCTCCTCGCGGTTCTCCCTGGAAACTATCATGGTTAATTCCTGATGAATTCATCATGATGGGCTAACTGGTCTGTTTTCATTCTCACCTATCACCCTTCACTGGTGCTCCGCCAGCGTATCCCGTTAGCGCAGGCGGGGTTACCATACCATTTTCACCCATTAAAAAAAAAACTTGCAAAACTCCCCAATGTCTACGAGACACCTCGTCGTTCATCGGTGTTTTGTCACTATTAAAATCTCCTTGTGTGTTGCGTTGGTTTGGTCATTTGGAGAGGATGGATTTAAGAAGAATTACGAAAGAGATTTATCGAGCAAGAATGAATGGAGATGTCGGTAGGGGCCGCCCTAGACGGACGTATGCCGACCAAATAGGAGACGTGCTGAAGATGGGCCAAATTAAAAGTACCCATAACCGCGAGCGTGTATGAAAAGATTGATGACTGTAGAAGAAGCGAAAGAGGTTTGTTTGAATCGAAGCATTTGGCGTTCCATTGTTTCTGCCTACCCTAATGGGAGACAGGCGTGACAGATATGTATGTATGTATATGTAAAATCTCCGTTTTTTGGGGAGCAAAAATACACTTGTCCAAGCACAAGAGAGAACATTTTTCACTTAAATGCGATATCAAGGCAGCGCCACGGGGCGCTCGGTCTATGGGGGCGTGGAGCGATTTTATGAATAAAAATGTATCGATGGGTTTTGTTTTCAATTTTCGTGCTTTTACAGTGTGTTTTCACTGCATTTTACTTACAATCTTTCTATAACAGTAACAGAATGGGGACTAGCAGCCCCAATATTTTCACTATATTACATCATTCTCCACGCGGCCTTTCAAACCTTGCCTGTGGCATTTCAGACACAATGTGCATTGTTTTTCAAATAAATGACTAATGAAAAAAAAAACCATCGTACTGTATTCCAGGTGTATTCATCACGATGGGCTAACTGACCTGCCCTTTCATCCTCACCTATTATTCCTCCCTGGTGCCCCGCCAGCGTATACCGTTAGCGCAGGCGGGGTTACCATTTCCTTCATCATCATCATCATCATATCATTCTTTTAATGTCCACCGCTGAACACAAGGCTCCCACTAGTGGAGGTTTTGTCAGCAGTTGCCACGCTTGGCAGGTGGATTTGCAACCGCAGTTAGGCTTTGGACATGTTTTAAGAGGGACGCTGCTGCCCATCCCTCGTCCTCCCTTAGTCGCCTCTTACGACCATTTCATTGTCATCCATTAAAAAAAAACACTCACCAATATATATAATAGTTCGTTGCTCGTTGCGTGTCGTTCGTTTGTTTGTTTGTTTGTCTATAGACTAGGCACTGTCGTGTTAAGGCACTCGTTACAGGCGTGTGTCAATGTTCACATTGCAGTTGTACCTGCAACAAGGGAATGCACTTTATTATGGCACAGAACACGGATACATAGAGCATTTACAAAAATCCTTTTTTTTTAGCAATACATTTATTTATTTAACAATTTTTTATGTATAGTATAAATTTATGGTAAATTATATATATATATATATATATATATATATATATATATATATATATATATATATATATATATATATATATATATATATATATATATATATATATATATATATATATATATATATATATATATATATGTTTTCCACGTGTGTCAATTTATTATTGTAAATATTTATTTTAATGTTACGTCTAAATGTTAGAGATAAGTTCGCCTTTGTAACATTGTTATTAACTTATTGTTATTACTGTATGTTTTAGTGCAGTAAAGTATATATAACAATGTTACGTCTAAATGTTAATCATGCTGTGTACACATGTTTTTGAATTGTAACCTAGTATAAAACCATAATTACCTATATATGTATAAACATAATATGGTTATAATTTGTTGTGTGTCTTATAAGAATAAATAAATATTGTACCAAAAACATAAATATATAGTTAATAGAGGTTTGTTTGAATCGAAGCATTTGGCGTTCCATTGGTTCTGCCTACCCTAATGGGAGACAGGCATGACAAATATGTATGTATATATATATATATATATATATATATATATATATATATATATATATATATATATATATATATATATATATATATATATATATATATATATATATAATTGAACAAGTGAAATACAATAATTTTAAATCTTATTTTGTACCATAATTGTGGAAATGAACAGATAAAAAAAAAGCTCCAAAAACAGACCTATCAGTATTGTAAGTTTTTTTTTAATATCGCAATAATGGTCTTGTTAGTAACTTTCTTTTATTTTGCCTGTAATAATAATAATATATTATAATGTTAATCCAAATAATCTTTTATGTAGTCATTGATATTTTCTTAAATATTGTAGAACATACTTTTGTTCTATCACCAATAGTTTCCGCAGCGCACGCGACCAAAGATATTTTTTTACATTTTTTTTACACCTTGAGTTACGTTACTGAAGTTTTAGTAAGGACCCCTAATCTTTTCTAGCAATAAATATAGCCTATGTTACTCAGGGTGAATGTAGCTTTCTAATGGTGAAAGAATTTTTGAAATCGGCAAAGTAGTTTTTGAGTTTATTCATTACAAACATACATGCACACAAAAATACAAATCTGTCCTCTTTATAATATTAGTATAGATAATATAGGTTGTACTTTATTTTCGGAAATTATTTATACCCGTGCGAAGCCAGGTCGGATCACTAGTATTTTAGTATCCATCTTATCCTATATACATATATGTATATAATCTAAAATTATTTCATATTTTTCGGTTCACAAACTTCGGAGATAAGGAATCAGCATTAAAACGTACAAATAAAACCCTTTCATATGATATAATACGTCACATGGACTAATAAATCAAATTTTAAAATTTTGAGTAACCTTTTTGCACCCCCTCGCAAAGAAAATAAAAAAAATAAAAAATACATTGTAATTTACCATTGCAATAAATACGGGTCAATAATATGTAAAACTATATACCAAATGTCAAATCGATTACTAGTTGCTGGCATATAGCGCTGTGACAGACGGACAGACGGACAGACGGACAGACGGACGGACGGATGAACGGGCAAAGTAGCACCATAAGTATTCCCTTGTACCTTTTTGGTACAAAACCCTAATACAGCCAAATTCCGAAGACCCTTTTGCCAGTCCCATAAAATCCAGCCAAATTCAGAAGCACCTTTTGGAAATCGTTTCGTTTAAAATCCATTAACAGCATTCGCTTTAATGTTAATGAACATGTTTTAATACTCCATAAGAGTACCCGCCGTACTGCGGCCTGACCCAAATCTTGACACCCGGGCAAAGCTCCTTATGTAACTGGCTCCAAGGAGTCGGTAGACGGGCGCGAGACGGCGCCCGCCCGACTGGCGCCCACACGGAGAGGGATGGATGTCCCCCGCGCGGGAGACCGCTGGCGCCCAACGTGGGACCGCGCTCAGCCTTCGCCGCCGACTATTTTTTTATTTTTATTTTCGTTTTGCATTACATATGCCATAAAAGCATTTTTGTTGCAAATGCACAAGTTATTTCAACTAATGTTTTTGATATTTGAAATCTATCAGCGGTAGGGTTTACCAGAGGGAGACTTTGTACAAAAGTCGATTGCTTGCGTACCTCTGTCCCATTCGTGTTTCAACCGTGAAGCAGTTGTTTGCATAGCTGTTTCGGTTTGAAGGGTGGGATATGGCGTGAATTTACTGCGTACAGAGGAATAACACCTGAGTTCTCACGAATGGCAATGCATGGGGGTATCATGGGCGAAACAGTATAATCTGTTATGTCCATGGTACTGCACATGTCATAGGCGACGGTTACCACTTTCCATCAGGTGGACCGTCAGCTTGTTTGCCATTCTAAGTTGTATATAAAAAAAAAATACTGCTGTGATGGATGTTTTATCGGCAGATGGAATAGAGATTATTCGAATACATTTTTGAGTGCCATCTATAAGGAGGAATCAAAATCTATACGTGGACACACGAATGCACGTTCTAAATTTAAATATAGCAGTAAAATTAAAGGGTACGAATGCAAAAGACCTTGTTGTATCAGCCATTAACTGCCCACTGTTGAACATAGCCTTCCCCAATGGGGGAAGTTGTTCTCACGCTTGGCAGATGGGTTGGCAACCGCAGTTAGGCTTTTGGTAATGTTTTAAGAGGTACGCTACTGTCCAACCCTCCACCATAGGAAGAAAGGGATTGCTAGTAATAAGGTCTAACTGACCCATTGCTAACAATACACCCTAATAGGGCGACCTCTAGACGGTTTACCCTGGAAACAATCGTGTTTAATTGTAGTGGAATTCGTCACGATGGGCTAACTGACCTGCATCGTCATCTATCATCTCTCACTGGTGCCCTGCCAGCGTTTACCGTTAGCAAAGGCCGCGTTACCATTTCATTATGACCCACTAAAAAAAAAACCCTCCACCATAATCTCCCTTAGTCGCCTCTTACAATACCCACTCACGAAAGGAAGGGGTGGCCTATTGTACCCAAATTTAAATATAGCAGTGAAATTAGAGGCTACGAAAGCATAAGACCTTAGTCCTCAGAAATAGCAACGCATGAGGGGTACCGACGCAAGTGTAGCAACTACTGGTAAAATCCCCTTTATGAGGGAGGCTTGTGTTCATCAGGGGACAGTTAACGGCTGGTATGATGATGATAATGATGCAGTTTAACAAGGGTATAAGTACCCACATCTTGTTTGGATGTTGGTTACTCGATCATGCCCAAACTGAATGGATGATACATACACCCACTCTAACTTACCTACCTTGCGTTAGAATTATAATTAACGTTTATATAATTAAAATCCGTCATTGGATGTATTTATAAGAGACAGCATGAAAGTTGTTTTTTTTTTTAAACTGTGGATTTTTGTATTAAATAAATTAATAAATCTACGGAATCCACCTTACACAAGTTCGAATCGTACTTGCCGAGTAGTACCTTATACAGAACAAAGACTGGTATATGGTACACACGAATGGCACGCGAGCCGCATTATCAACTAGTTGCAGTGTGTCCTGCGCACGCGCCGCTTATCAACGCACAGATAGGACGCGACGGTAGCTGGCTAGTAGCTACCGTGTATGGTCGTGGTAAAGCCAGTCATAACTTTACCAATACAATAACATAACTGGACGATTGTCTGTCCATGGGAGATGTTTAATGAAAATTAAAATGGTCTATTACTTTTTTCTTTTTTTTAGCAACTTAGAATGGCAAACAAGCTGACGGTCCACCTGATGGAAAGTGGTAACCGTCGCCTATAGACATGAACAGCGCCGTGGACATAACAGAGTATACTGTTTCGCCCATGATACCCCCCATGCCTTGCTTTTAAATTCACTGTCATATCCCACCCTTCAAACCGAAACACAGCCATGCAAACACAACTGCTTCACGGTAGAAACACGAATGAGACAGAGGTACCCAAGCAATCGACTTTTGTACAAAGTCTCCCTCTGGTATAATATAGTAAGAGCAATCGAAGCTAAAACAATAATTTTAGAAATTTTGTCTGTCCATCTGTAAATTTATAAATTACAAATAAATGTATTTCAAATAATTCACATCTCTGGGCATTACGCAAAATCTACTGAAACGCTTACCATCATTTGGGCCGTATGCTTGTTTACTACCTCAGTGGTATAAAAAATAAATTAAACCAAATTGGTTACGGTTTTCATAGATAGATAGACACTCTTTATTGTTTCCTCCAAAAGATTACAATAGTAAACTTATTCTAAATATAAACAATTACAAGAAATAATCACAATGAGAAAACAATGGGCGACCTTATCGCTAAGAGCGATCTCTTGCAGGCAACCTTTGGATGGAGAGGAGTAATTATAAACAGTTTGATCGGAGGCACGATGAAATTCTATTATTTCTAAAAAATAGAGATATGATACATGTAATAATGTAAAATATATATGCCTACTAAATACACAAATAAACTCCAATGTGTACGTATATATTTAAAAATATGCACTATATTGGTATAGCCACTTCATTGCAACTTATCTTCTGCGGCCGCCACGCACACGTGTACACATACTTGTATGCACATACATACATACAACACATTCAGTCCGTGCGTTCATTACTGTTGCCCAACACCATCTCGTAAGTGTGTAATGAGTTCACCTTTGTTGGTAACCTAATTCAGCGACTGTTTGGAAATTTTCAAAAGCAATTTTGCGTGTGTATATTTTCTTGTGCACGTTACGAGATAACAAGGCAAATTCTGAATCGATTTCGATGATTCTTTTCTCCATCGAGATAGGGTTTACTCCCGTGTCGATCCTGTTAAGCCTTCTTTGCATACTGATGGAAATTTCCATCACAACATTGA